GAGGGCAGCTCACTTTCTGGGTGGGGGGAGTGACTTCCCAGGCCAGGGGGCTGACCTGGATTGGGGGTGACCTCCCGGGTAGGGGCCGACCTCCCAGGTGGGGGTGCTGACCTGGGTGGGGGTAATCCCCTGGGTGGGGGTAATCCCCTGGGTGGGGGTGACCCCCTGGGTGGGGGACCCTGTGCTTGGTGATAGGTGTGAGGAAGAGCCAGCAGCTCAGTGGAGGCAGGAGGGTCGCTGAGGGGCAGACAGGCCGTGGGCCTGTGTTCTGCCTTCTGTGCAGAGGCCGGAAGTCACCCCTGCCAGCCGGGCCTCTGTCCTCCGTCCTCAGGTGCTGTGCAGATGCTGTCCACCACATTCATCGGCTGCCTGAAGACACTGGTCCCTTGCTGTCTGTATCAGCACAAGAGCCGGCTCTCCTACCCACCCAACTTCATCACCACCATGCTGTTCGTGGGCCTGATGAGGTGAGGGAGCGGACGTGTGGCTGCGCGTCCGGGTCCTCTACGTGCGTGCACAAACGCCTTCCCGCCAAGAGCGGGCGTGAGGATCAGGCAGTCGGAGAGGTGTTTGCAGGGCAAGCTTTATAAAGTCATAAAGGCTGTCTCGGTTTTAGGGCGAGTGTGTTGGTTCTGTGGATCCTAATGCACATACGTTTGATCAGATCATTCTGGAGCAGTCATGAAGCTCGTTTAGTGAGGGTTTGAGAGTAGTGAGCCTGCTCCTTCCCGGGGCTGACATCCTGGCAACAGTGGAGCGGTAGAGTCCCTGCAGGTGGGAGACCATGTCCGAGACCCAGACCTAAGCTGCCGGAGGTGGGGGGCGGGACGAGGAGGAGGGTCAGGTCCCCCTGCCCCTGGGCCAGTGAGCAGCTACAAATGGACCGATGTGTGATGCCACTTCCGGCTCATTTTCAGGTTTGCAACAGTGGTCTTGGGCCTGGTCAGCCTGAAAAATGTGGCAGTCTCTTTCGCGGAGACAGTGAAGAGCTCTGCCCCCATCTTCACCGTCGTTTTGTCCCGGCTGATCCTGGGGGAGCACACAGGTGAGCCCCGCTCCTGCCCACCCTTCTCCTGGCGGCTCTCTAGGCTGCCGACCTGCACAGCGGCTGGTGCCGCAGCCCCTGTTGCTGGCGAGCACCTCCCTTTTCCCTGGGACGTTCCTGAGCGCGTTCACGTCCCCAAATGTGTCTTCGCCTCTGTCCGGCGGGGTGCGTGGACATGCGGGGTCGGAGGGTCTGACGGGGAGAGCAATGAGCAAGCAGCCTGGTGCCATCTCTTGTCCCAGGAAGGCAGCCAGCCTTGGCCATGCAAGGTGGCGCCTGGTGGGGACCCTCATGAGCCCGTCCCTCCAAACGCGCTCCTCGTGCCCTTCAGCCGTGCCTCGCCATCCTCCCTGAGGCCAGCATGCAGGGTTTATTTGCAGACTTCCAACCTTTAGCGACAGGCTGTGCGTCACCAGCAACATGTTACACACCCGGTTTTTCCAACCAGCCTCTTGAAAAGCAACGTGTCTGCAGCTGTTCGGGTGAAGGGCGGGTGACGTGTGTGATAGGTGGCTTTTTATCTCGGAGGGGTACTAACAGATAGATGCGTGTTTGCCTCCCTCAAGAAAATGACAAGATCGTAAAATAAGGCAAGGACCTGCCTTTCGGGGCAGGGGCCAGGACACAGCTGGACTTCCCGTGGCTGTGCTCTCGGATGTGTGAATATCTCTGGTGACAGTAAAAGTCAAATCAAGTGTGAAGAGCAACACGAGAAGACTGAGCCCGGTGGCTCACAGGACGTATTTCCAGTGACTTTAAAACACCGTGACTGGCATCCGGCTGTGGGGACACACCTGTTGCAAACCAGCCATCTTGCTCAAAACACTTGGAAAATCTTGATAAAGTTTTGCTGGAAGAAATCTGTTGGGAAGCATTTGGGAACGGCCGAGGCACGCGCACTTCAGTGCTAAGGGTCGCCCAGGGGAGTGACCCGTGAGTGGCACCCCCCCACACAGGACAGCGGCCGGGGATCTGGGCACAGCGGCCTTGTGGGTGGAGGGGCGAGGGCCCCAAGGGCCTGCTGATGGGGTGCAGCCCCCACAGAGCCCCCGTGTCTGTCCTGGACAGCGCCCAGCCCAGAAAGCCAGTCCTTCCTGGGCATCAGTGTGGGTTCCCGATTTTGTCACAGTTTTTATACATACTGTCCGTCACTCAACCGAATGTCCAGCAGGACAGACTTCAAGACCAAACGGCAGAGAACAGAGAGCACTTGTGAGCGGCCGCCATACCGTACCTCCCCCTGCGCCCTGGGCCTCGCTGCCACGTGGCCGTGGGTTTGCCGGGGACTGACCGCACTCTCCTCGGCTCACCGGCCACTTCTGGATGGCTCTCCTGTGGCGGGGATGCGGCTGGTGTCCCATGAGGTCACCATGGATTGTCAGGACATGCTTTTGTCCCTGACACCCCATCTACTCAGAGTTTCAGAGGAGACCTGGAGCTGCCTCCGAAGTCAGAGCAGGGGCCGGACACTGGTTCCAGGGCGAGCATGGCTGCCCTGCACCGGGGGCCCGCGCCAGCCACGTCAGGCCCGTTTATTCGCTTTCCGATGAAAGAGCAGTGGACACAGCGCGGGTCCTGGGCCCGCACAGCGCTGGCCGCTCCTCCTGCGCATTCCTCGTCTTGCGGGATGGCCCGCAGGCCACCTCACTCGCCCGCTGACTCTGCGGCTGAGCAGGCCCGGAGCTCTGGCTGCCGGGAGGGAGGGGTTCAGGGCACAGCGCTCAGGCCTGGCCCGCCATGGCCCAGACCGCCCGGGGCCCTGGCTCCCAAGGGGGGCTGGTCTGCGAGCCGGGCCCCCTCCACAGCATTTCCCTGGGGCACGGAGCGCCTGGTGAGTGCTGGCCCCGAGCTGTCCCGGGCACGGAGGGAGCAGCCGTGGCTCAGAGGTGCACTGGCAGCTGGACAGACTGGCTGCACTCCTTTTCAGGGCTGCTGGTCAACCTGTCCCTTGTGCCGGTCATGGGAGGCCTGGCGCTGTGCACGGCAACTGAGATGAGCTTCAACGTCCTGGGGTTTTCGGCCGCGTTGTCCACCAACATCATGGACTGGTGAGTCCCGAGGAGGGGGACGTGGCGTGTGTGGGGGCCAGTGCCCGCGTTCCTCGTGTCGGTGACGGACACTTGGATGCAGATCAGCTCAGAGCTGCTTCCCGTAACTCAGAACTGGGCACACCCGACACGGCCCCTTCCTAAGCGGCAGACCAGTAAGCGCCCCAGTGAAGTAGCTGTTTTCCAGAAAATAAGCCAAAGCAGCCAAACAGACAGGGGACGGACACCGCGTCCCAGGCTGCATGCGGACTAGCCTCGGACGGGTCGTGTTTGCCAGGGGCGTTGGTGAAGTCCACACTGTGCTTGGCAGGACTGTGATTTCAGGCTTGTCCCGTTTCTGAGGAAAGAAGTGGCACAGGCACCTTGCACGTCCGGGGTGCGTCCTGCTCTTCGGTGAGCTTCCCGCGCTCACGGCCGCAGGCGAGTCACATAACTGCCCGTCCTCCGCCTCCCATGACGGCCAGCCTTTGGTCACGTCTGTAGGGCACAGCTGTCAAATGGGCCTCACCCGGCCGGGGGTTCTGACCGTCCTGTCAGAGGCCCGACAGGGATGGGGCCCGCGGGTGGATGTCTCCAGAAGGCGCGGGGCGGGCACGGCCGGGCCTCCCAGGGGAGCGTGCCGGTCTGCAGCTCCAAGAACACGAGCTTCTGGCCGCCGTCGTCCTCACCTGCTTCTGTGTTAAAACAGAGCCACCCACTTCCAGGGTCCAGAGAGCAGTGTCCTTAGTCAACGTGCCAGCCCCTTTGGTTCTCGGGGACGAGAACACTGTCCAACTTTCTCACTGGCCATGTGTGTTTCCTGCGGTTTGTCCCGTCCCGGAGTCTCGTGTGCATAAGCTCCTGTTCTGTCCACGCACCCCCCTCGTCGAGAGCCTGGCCCGTGGCACTGGCTGATCTGGGGCGCTCTTGGTTCAGAGTGGAGTTCTGTGCAGCACTTCGAGTAGGACTTGGGGATCCTCTGACACCTAAACACTGGATGACCTCAGGCACGTCACTTGACCTCTGAGTACCTTGGTTTACCTACTTGTCGAAGGGACAGGTGTGGTGCTCCCTCACGGTGAAGTGATGCCTGGGAAATGCCGAGCAGGGCCCGGCTCGCAGCAGATGCCCAGTGGCTGTCACCGAAGTGCTGCCATCACCAGCACCACCTGGCGAGGCCACACATGCTTCGGCCAGCAGAGGCTCCACGCTGACGTCGCGTGCCGACGGCCCTCCTCTCCTTTTCTTCCTTCTAGTTTGCAAAATGTTTTCTCCAAGAAGCTACTCAGCGGGGACAAGTACAAGTTCTCGTGAGTATTATGACGCCCTGGGCCGAGAGGACTTCCCGCCGTGGCAGGTTCCGAGTGCCCTGTGGCCCTGCCACCGCGCCTGGCTGAGGTGGCTTTGCTGGAACTTGCGAGGGACACCGCTGTCCGCAGCTGCTCCGCGTGGGCACCTTGCGGGCCGGCTTGTTTGTGCAGCCACGGGTCGGCTCTGTTACGACGGGCCCTTGGGGATGCGCCGGGAGGGTCTCGGGTCCTCGCGGGCTGGGGGGCACCCCTGAGAGAGGCTCAGGCGCCCGTTGCCCGCAGGGCCGTGGAGCTGCAGTTCTACACGAGCGCGGCGGCGGTGGCCATGCTGCTCCCGGCCTGGGTCTTCATGGTGAGTGTCGGGGTGGCGCTTCTGGGCGCCTGGCCGCCTTTGTCCTCGGCCATTCGGGAGTGGGACAGGCGAAGTCGGCAGCTCGTGTGGACATACCTGAGGAGAAGGGAGGAGGGTGGAAGCCAAACCTCACGGGTCTCTGAGGCCACGGAGCCCAGTCTGTGGCGATTTTCGCGAGGGTCTCAGCTTGCTCATTGTCATTGCAAAACGTGGAACCAGCAGCATGGCAGACGTGCACGAACCAGGAGCAGGTGTGTTGCTCGACCCCCTGGCTCCCCCCCCCCGATGTGTCTGCATGGCTATAACACTCACGTGCTCACGTGCGGGGTGCGATGCCATTAGTCTGTGGGAGCACATGGGGACACGGCCGCCAGACCTTTCCTTTTAAACACAGTGCAACTGGGTCACGCAGTCCTGTCGTCACACTGCGGTGTGGCGCTGTCCTAACCTATCGCTGTAATGTCTACCTTCAGCAGAGGCTTCTCTGGGCTGCGTCCCCTCGTGGAAACACTAGGGGCTGGAGGGAGATGTCACGTTAGCACAGTCGGCCTGCGCCGCCTCCGTCCCATCTCTCGTGATGAGAGGGTCCCTTTCCTCTGAGACAGGGACACGTCTTCCAAACGGGGTTTATCTCCTCTTCCCAGGAGGAAGGGGAAGTCAGCACTCTCTTCCTGCACTACATCTCCTAAGTGCTTTTAGCACAAAACGGTCCTCACTCCCAAGGGGCGTATGTGGGGGGACTCCTTCCCCCTCCCTCAGCCCGGCACCCCACCCCCGTCTCTGTGGACTCAACTCCCCCCGGGGCCTCCCGTGCGTGGAGTCACGTGGTACCTGCTCGTCTGTGACTGGCTTGCTTCACTCAGCACCATGTCCTCGAGGTCCGTCCATGCTGTGGCAGGCGTCAGAATGTCCTTCGTTTTTGGGACTGAGTGCCGTTCCGCCGCGTGGATGGACCCGTCGTGCTCATCTGCTCACCCGTCCACGGACACCAGGGTTGTCGCCACCTCTGGCGGCTGTGCGAACGTGGGGATGGAAGCGTCTCCTGGAGACGCTGCTTTCAGTTATTTTGGGGACACACCCGGAGGTGGGATCACTGGACTCCATGGTCATTCTCTTCCATTTCTGAGGGACTCTGCTGGTCAGTGTCATTTTTGTGTCCCCAGTGGCCGCATCACTTGCAGTCCCACCAGCAGTACACGGGGTTCCAATTTCTCCACGTTCTCGCCAACACGTTATCTTCTGTGGGTTCCCGCTCGTGTCTCGGGTGGTGGCCATCCCGACGGGTGTGGGCGGCGCCTCACTGTGGCTCCATTTGCACCCCCGGGGATGGGGGTTCCGGCCGCCATCAGAGCTGCCCGGCCGCCCCTCCGGCAAATGCCGTTTCGGAGCCCCCGCGTCGGTTGGTTTGCCCGGATCGCGGGCCCGCGTGGCGCCGCGTCCGCGCCGGGCAGTGCGAGGGGGACGCGCACGCAGAGCGCGTCTCGTTCTGGCTCACAGGACTTGCCGGTGATCGGCAGGAGCGGGAAAAGCCTCAGCTACACCCGGGACGTCACGCTGCTGCTGCTGACGGACGGCGTCCTCTTCCACCTGCAGAGCGTCACGGCGTACGCCCTCATGGGGAGGGTTTCTCCTGTGACTTTCAGGTAAGACAGTGACTTCCCGGTGCTTGCAGAGAAGACGTAAGATCTTGTATTCTTGTAAGGGATGTTTGTGATTGCCAGTGCGTGGCGGCGACGGCACTCACGCGTCTGGATGACCTGGCCGCCTAGCCGGTGCTGTGTGGGGCACAGGCCTGGAGAGTGTGCACGGGTCGTTAGGGACCCACCCCGGGGGCTTCTCATTGGAGCGGAACCTGTTCCGGGGGGTGTGAGTCCTGTTCTGCCCGGAGCTGCTGCAGCTCTGTGACGCCGGGCGCTGTTCTCGCTGCCCAGGGTGGGGCCGTGGGCCACGGGCGGTGACTGAGCAGTGGGGACCTGAATCTCTAATCTGAGCGGCCACACGTGGCCGTTGGTGCCCATACTGGCTGGCGGAGCCCCGGAAACTTCGAGGTGAGCTAGACGCCTCGTGAGTGGCTTCACCTGTCCATAGCTGGACGAATTTATCGAGAGCACAGTACACGCCGGAATGAGCCGATGTCACCAGCGGTGTTGTTGGTGGCTTTGGCCGCATCACGTTGCGAGTCAGCGGATCTTCCTCTCTAACTTGTGAACTGTCCCTGGAGAAATGGAATCGTCCCCGAGTGAGGACAGCAGTAGGCCTGATTCGTGCTGCTCTTCAGCCTCGTGGAGCTGCACGTGCGGCGGCTGGCCCCTCGAGGCGGCTCCCAGTCCCCTCTGCTTGTCACAGGCAGCCCGTGCCAGTGCGGCGAACACTCAGCTGCCCACCTGGGCTGGCAGCTGTGCCTCTGCTGCCTGGGTGGGCGCCGGCTCTGACCCCCGGGTCCTGAGTGGGACCGCCTGCAGCACCGTCGGGCAGTCATGATTTCAGAGTTACCCTCCCACTAAATTCTAAGGTCACTGTCCCTGTCACACATTCTTGCTTCTGTGTGGGACCAGGAATCATTTCCAGATGTTCCCAAAACTTTCCAATGATCGTTAGCGATGGCTGAAAGAAGGCAGAAAACAGAAACCCAATTATTTTTAAAGAAAATGGTTGTCTTAAATTCATGGTATAATAGCAGTACTTGCTCATTATAGAACATTTGGAAAAGGCAAAGAAGTATAAAAACTGGAAGTTAAGCGATGGGCAGCCCTGAGACGGGGCTGTTGGCAGCTCAGCGTGTCGCTGGCGGCTTCACCGTCACCACGCGCGGCGCTGCTCTCAGCAACAGGGGCCCCCAAGCAGCGCGCTCTCCTGAGATGCCACCAGGATATGGCAGGCGTGGGGATGTTCTCTCCTTCTTTAGTCAGGAAACTGAAGTAATTGGGGTATTTTGTCCAAATGTCTGTAATTCGCTTGAAAATCTTTCAGTCAAAAAAAGGATGAAGAAATTAGGCAAAAGATAAAAATAAGGCAAAGGCTAACGGGTAAGTCTGGAAGATGGCCGTGCACGGCAGTGTCCCCGCTCCTCTGCTCGACAGGCTTCCTAGTGCTGAGCACGCCCACCCAAAAAAGAGAGGGGGGAAGGTTAGCGAGCAGCCCGCCAGAGCCCCCGGCACCCTGCCCGCCGCCCGAGCGCCCAGGCCGCCACGGCCTCGTCCCCTGTCTTGCAGTGTCGCCAGCACCGTGAAGCACGCCTTGTCCATTTGGCTCAGTATTATAGTTTTCGGCAACAAAGTCACCAGCCTGTCGGCCATCGGCACCATCCTCGTGACAGTTGGCGTCCTGCTCTACAACAAGGCCAAGCAGCACCAGCGAGAGGCCATGCAGAGCCTGGCCGCAGCCGCCAGCCGGCCGCCGGAGGACAGCACAGAGCCGCTGGTCCCCAAGGACCCCTGGCCGCACCACTGAACTCTGAAGCCTCGGCGGGTGCCGGGGCCCCGGGGAGCCACGCGCTGCTGCTGTCCTCGCTGATGTGGGGTCTCTGCTCCATGGACACCCCAGCCCCCCACGGGTCACAGCCGGGGTGCGGAGACCAGGCGTGCGCAGCCTTCCCTGCCCCTCTCTGGGGTTGTCAGTCAAAACCAGCAGGAACTCGAATGGGGACCCCAGATGGCAGCTTCCAGGGGTGGAGGCCAGAGCCAGCTGTCGCTGAGCCGTCACCAAGTTATGTGAAAACCGCCTCCCGCCACTCCACACGGGTGTCACAGGAAGGTGGGGACCGCCTGGCCTCTGCATGTCCCTCGTGGGCACGCGGGTCCCGCTGCAGTTAGGCCAGGCTCCAGTTCCTCTGGGCAGTGACCACTGAGACAACTGTGAAGCCAGAGCTGGGTCCAGGTGCCGATGTGTCCCGTTCCCTGCTTGGTGCCCATGAAGAAAACTCATCTTTCCCACGCCAGCTACCAAAGGCCACCAAAGGCGCCCCCTGCTCCTCGGCCATCTGGGGAGACTGCTGTGCTAGGACAGTCAGCCAGGGCACCTGTGCAGTCCAGGACACCACAGAGCCATCAGAGAGTGAGAGGGGACACACGGGCAGAGACAGGGTCCCCTGCAGCTGAGGGGGGGTGCTGGACTCTCTCCCTGACACTGAGCTGCCAGCATCTGGCACCACTTAGGGACCGGTCACTCAAGGAAGGGGCTCAGAGCCCTTCAGGGTCTGTGCCGCACTCGGTCCCCACCGCCTGACGGTCCCTCACTTGCGGCGGGGGCTCCGGCCCCCAAGGTCCAGGACGGTCATCTGCATTGTCCAGCTCAGGCAGAGAGATGCTGACGTCCTGTCGTCCTTGACTCACGGTCCTGCCAGTCCCCGCGGTGCACCGTGCTCACGCAGCGGCAGGGCTGTGGCTGTGTGTCGTCAGTGGGGATGTTAACGCTCACCCTCGTGAGTGTTCGGACTGTTTACAATCTTCATTCCGCTGCATTTAAAACGACAGTATAATATTTTAGAAAGGAAGCACAGGCACCGATGGCTTCTGGAATGCATCGCGTGTGTCAGGTGAACCACCCTCCTAACCCACAGGCTGGCTCTGTGACCACGCGGCTGTCGAGCCCTGTGTCGGCTTGAGGCTCCTAATCCCCACGTCATACCTCACCCCCCATCCTGGTGGGGCTTCTGATGGGGACGCGATCCACCGCCAGCCAGTCCGCGAGGCCCTCTCCATCCGCCTTCAGCCCACATTGTCCTGAGCGTGGGGGCTTGTCACACGTGGCCCTCCTCAGTGAGCACGGCCTGGCCACCTGCCATCTGAAGCCTGCCTGCTGGAACTGAGTGAGTTAACCGAGGAGAGGGACTTAGGACACTCCTTGTCCCCAAGTCCCCCTTCCCTCCGTGCGGTTCAGGGCCTTGGCTCCCAAGCCCGGGACAGTGGTTTTCCAGTTGGCTTCTCAACTGGAAAACATATAAATAGCCTCTTGAGGAGATCGGACCTCTTGGAAACAAAGAGCAATAATTCCGTCTCATTAAGTTCTGCCTGCTTGAAAAAGTTTGCCACGAGGACGGATTAAAATGGAGCCTTTCAGACTACAAACAACGTTTTTATGAAACTGTCCTCCTACATCCAGAGGACAGGCAGGTGTGCGCTCACCTGCATGACAAGCTCGCCGGCACTGTGAAGCTGCCTCTCGTGTGACTTTCCCAGGTTTCTACTCCCTTTCCACTTCCGCTTCCCCTTCCCCCCCAAACAAAGCTACAGAGGCCTCGCTGGTGGGGGCTGGCGTGGTAAGACGTGGCATTGACATGTGAGGACCAGGGCGAAAGCACTGTCCCAGCCTGCCCCCTGAGGACGTGGCCGCTCCACCAGCAGCCAACGGTCGATATAAACGGAGAAGGGGTCACATCTGTGGCCGCCCCGCTGCGGGATTTTCATGGTGAGCTTCTCACAGACTTTGTCATCTGAGTGTAATCGGACACGCGGCCGCCTGTTTCCGAGCATCGTCAGGAATTTCGGGATCCCGCGCCTCGTGGGATTATGAAGCTGCACCCCATGATGTGCCCCACCCTCCGCTCTCACAAGTGGCTCTCAGCCAGTCTTGATTTTCTAAAATTTGGACCAGAAACAAAACGAAGATTTTCCTAAATCGTTAGTAAATGAGGCCGTTTCCCGCAAAGCTGCCTCTGAGACGTTCCCCGTCCTGGGCTGTGGCCGGCGCTGCCCTCAGTCGGGCCTCACATTCCTTCCACTTCCGTCACCTCCACCCCAAGTCGCCCGTTTCTCGGGCATTTCCAGGACAGCCCGAGAGTCACAGCCCGCAGCCTGGCTTGGACATTTGTACACACACAGCAGATTTTTTATGAACAGTCTAGTTTTTATAGTATGTTCTCACTGAACTGTCACAGATGGGCTTGCACCAACATTGACACTGGGTGTCGCTGCTCACATGGGTTCCCCTCCCCCCCCGCCCCCGTGTCTGTGGTTGTCTGTGCCTTCGTACGCTGACCCAGGCTTCCCAGGCAGGCCATCTGGGTGCACGTTGGTACCTAGAGGTGACAGGTCTCTGGCTTTCAAGGAAACTTCCACTACTGAGTGGCATAAAAAAATTTTTGTTTTTAAATTCCGATAGTCATAATTTCTGCATATCAGCATTAAAATCGTTTGCCTTGGAAAGCTGAGAACACTCTTGCACAACCGAAAATGTGTCTTTAATTTGAGGAAAAATAAACATGGTGAATCAGAAACAGTAAAATGAAGTGCTGCACAAGGAACATCGGCCACGTGGAGCCGCGCTCGCAGCCAGCGTTTGAAATACTTTTCCCGAAACCAGTGAGTTTCGCTTCCTATTGTGGCATTCTCCTGCAGATTGTCACTTACAGAGGCCAGTGGGGTGACAGACTCACAACATGGCTTTTAGATCTGTCCAGGTGCTGTGCTTCCTAAGGCCTGAAGGTGTCTCCACTGCAGGTGTGTCCCTGGGTTGGAAAAATTAAACGAGGATGTCGGTACAGATAGGAATCCTCTACTTTCGCCTTTGACCAACGTTGTACTAAGGGCTTTATTCTCTCCCAGAATATCTACATGCCCTGGTTTGGGCCTCTTCATTTTCTTAGTTTATGAATAATGTCCCGGCTTCCGCGGTGAATCTGCCTATTCTTATCTCTGTCCTGGCTGAGGAGCCAAGGGAAGATGGTGGGTCGGCTGCTCACCCAGCAGCTCAGAGCATAAAATCTTCAACCTTGCTGTCTCTGAAGTTACTTCTTCATTCTCCTGAGAGCTCCGATTCTGAATTTGATGGCCTCCGGAAACATGCCCAGATGTCCAAACCGAGTCGGAAACTGTTCTAACTGGCAACGTTTGTTTTTGGTTTCGTTTTTCCAGTTTTCATTTGAGGAAAACTGGCATTCAGCCGATTTTCTGTTTCCAGCTGTTCGCAGATGTGAGTTGAGTTTGAATCTCCCTGGGGGTGTTGTGGGCTCCAGGTTGAGGAGGGCCAGTCAGGGTGACTTTCCCACACTGAAAAACTTGAAAATTATATCAGTAATCATCTACATCAGAGCCAAGTGTTTGCTTTATACCAAACAAAACTGTGGAGAAGTACAGACTGTCTATAGTGTTTAGTATTTCACCTATTTCAGTATTTATGTGACTAGATGAATATTCTAGAAAACGGTCTGTTAAATAATTGAGTCAGTGTTAATTATGCTGTGGTAATAGAGTGATGCTGTATAATTACTCCTGTGGGTGCCTCCTGTTATTTTGACTAAATTAAACCACCATAGTAGCCACTGTCTATGACTCTTGTTCTGCGAAAGTAAAATAAATGTGCATTGTGTACTTCGTTACGTTCTTCGTTGTGTAATTCTCGTGTTTATGCTACTGAAATTATCAAGGGCGGTTTCTTACTGCCTTTGCCATTTTCAGCATGAAGAGAAACAATGGTTTTCCTGTCACTAACAACTCAGGAAGCAAAATAAGAGCTTGGATACTGAAAGTAAACATTTCATTCTGAGAGGGGGAGAAAAATCCCAAGTCCTCTCGCCCTTTTTATGCCCTAATTTCTTGTCGCATTCCACATTTTACATTTCAGGTCCACTAAATGTGGATGGACGTTTATCTTCCATTCTCTTCCCTGAGTTTCAGAACGTTGTTGGATTATCATTTTTTTGTGACCGTTAAAACGACAACAAAGTCTGCAGAATAACTTGACATAGAGAGGGCTTCTCATTCCACCAGCCTCTGCGGGGTCGAGGCAGGCCTTGGAGTTGGGCCTTAAAACCCTTCGCAGGGGAATCGGCGGAAGCAGGCAGTTTGGGGAACCGCCGGCTGAGCGCCAGCTTTAAAACTACACTGCAACAGCCCTACGAGCCCTGTTTTTTGCTAAGGTAGAACCAAATGTGTGGTTTTAGGAGGCAACTTCTTTCTTTATCTGAAAATTCGGTCAACTGGAGCGTCACGGGGGGACGTTCCTAGCGCCAAGCTCGCGGCTTTTCAGGTCGCCGTGGAGCACGGGGCGCCTGCGAGCGACGCCGGCGCGGCGGGGGAGGGGCCGATGGCGGAAAGGCGCCGGCGACCGACTGCGGGCAGGCCCAGGGGTCGATGGCTGCTCCCGGTTCCGAACGCGGCGGGGCGGGGCGGGGCGGGGCGGAACGACGCTTCCTATTGGGCCTCGCTGGGCCCCGCCCTGATTTCGTCATCAGTCAGCGTCGAGCCCGGAAGTTGCGCCCAAAGCGCGCACCCGGCACTGGTCTCTGGACCCGGGTCGGCGGCGAGGCCCCGCCCCGCGCGTCATCAGTCCGCGCCGACGCAAGAAGTGACGACGGTCGTGGCGCGCGCCGGGCGCTGTTTCTTCTCAGGCTCCGGGACCGGCGGCAGCGGCGGCGGCGCAGGGGTGAGTGGCGGCCGGCTCCCCCAGGCTCTCGGGGCAGGCGGGCGACGTTCCCCGC